TCTCATTGATTTGGCTACCTTAGGGCTGCGTTCCCCGCGCCCACGCGGTAGACAATAGTATAGTGGGCTTTAGCGTCTGTGTCAAGGTGTTGCATTTTCGGCGCCCGACGACGAGGACGCAAGTGGGTTCTTAGGGGGTGGAAATTTTGGGGCGATCGGTCCTTCAAGATATTGCAAATGACCTACAACTAGCTCTTGTAAAACCGTGATTTTTGGAAAAAGGAAGGGCCCGGGTGGAAGCGGACCCCAAAAAGAAAAGGTGAGGCGGGCCCAGGCATTGAGGCAGACTCTGGTGCCGACGCGCGTGAACGTTGCTTTCCACTAGGACCCTACATAAACGGGATACCGGTGGGTCTAGTCCCGCAATTTGCAAGAGGCAACTTTGACGATTTTTTATGCTCGGATGAGTTTGCAAAAATAATATGAAAATTTGAGAATCCGTAGATTAGGTCATGATCTTTCCACGAAAAATATCAGAAAAACTTAAAAAAAATCTTAAAGAACCACGAAATAATCGCCGCGCCTATTCTACACATTTTTTATTTTTCCCACCCAACCATATGTGGACCAAGGAAAAAGTACTCCAATTTCAGTGATTTTTCGTTCTCATAAGAATGCATGAAAAAAAACTGAAAATTGAACTGCTCGTAGATTTTGTTATGATTATTCCAAAAATTATATTAAATAAATTAACAAAAATAACTTTAAAGTTTAAATGCGAAATAGATCCCGGCCACAATCTGACCCCTATTCCAATTTTGCCATGCAGCTTCTCTCTCTTTTTTTTTCTCTCTCTCTCTGGTAGCACCCCCTCTTCGCTCTGTATCCCCCCCCCCCTGGCCCCCCCCCTCTCTCTCTCTCTTGTAGCACCCCGCCCTCCCTCTCTATTCCCCCTCCCGTCCCTCCCTCTCTCTCTCTCTCTCTCTCATGCGTGCACTTAGTCCCATTGCTTTGGCCAACGTTAGGAATGCGTTCCCCGCGCCCACGCGGTAGACAAAGGCCACACCCTACGATCCATTGAAATCAGCGGTGCCAAGAAGTAGACAAAGGCCACACCCTACGATCCATTGAAATCAGCAGTGGCAAGGAGTGTCGCACGAAGGGGAGGTCCCCGTTACCGGAACAGGACCAATGCAAGTGGGACTTGGCCCCGGGAGGACCCAGTGTGACCGGAAATCTACCTCAAAATTTAGGTTATAAGGTCCTCGTGTGAGTATGTTGTCGTTTCAGGTCCCACGGGGTCTATTCCGCCCGTGGGGGAGAGTTGATGCTCTTTGTAGCACTCTCCAAAAAACTGGTGGGAAGAACTGCTCAGGACGACCATCTGGGCAGCACCACATTACTGAGCCGACACGTGGCATACCAAACCAACCTTCAACGGAAACGTGCGTCCAAACGCTACGGGACTGTCCCTCTCTGTCCCTTTGTCGGCCCTCGTCGATTCATTGCATACTCACACCACATGGGACCTTCTGTACTGTACTAAGCTCTCGACGTGAGTGTGTTCAGATTCATCAGGCTTCCCCGAGACAAAAGGAAAAAGCGAAACAAGGTTCATCTGCTTCCCGCCGTAATTGCAGCCATTGAAATCGTGCCCTCGTCGATTCATTTGCTCAGGTGGAAAACGTGGTCGCTTAGCGTATGCTTTCCGTGCGAGGGAGTACGTGCTGTCTCTTATACACATCTAGATGTGTATAAGAGACAGGACTGGGGGTCTCCCCCTCTATAGCTTGATGTGCACCGCCCCAGAGAGGAGGACTCACAAACGACCTTGGTCCTTGGAGAAAGGTGAATATGTGCAGCTAATGGGAAAGCACATTGTTCACCACTTGTCTCAATATGCCAACGTCAAGCAGAAAAACATTTGCAGCCCTAAGGCTGCGGTATAGTGTGTTTGTGCATTTGTTTCAAGGTGTCGCACAATGTATACCGTCGTACGCATACGGCCCGTCCGCACGTACGGACGTCCGTACATACTGGCCCCCCGGCGCCCGTACGGCCTGTACGTACGGACTTCGGGCCGTCCGTACAAGGCCTTCCGGAGGGGTGCTGAGGGGTTGGATGGGCTGGGGGGGGTTCGGGTGTCGGGGGGTACCCCCCCATTCAAAAAAACATTTAAAAAAAAAATGTTTTTTTTTTGTCCCGGGTGAAAAAAAATAAAAATTGATTGATTGATTAATCCGTTGATTGATTGATTGATTGATTGTTTGATTGATTGATTGATTGATTGATTAACATGTGCACATCGATTGATTGTTTGATTGATTGATCGACCGTGGAAAAAAAAAAACGAAAAAAAAAAAAAAAGAAAGAAGGAAAAAACAAGGTGAAAATAAGAAAACCATGATCATGCGACAGTCCGGGAAAGACCCCGTTGCTGGAAACCAGGTCCACCATCCTGCCCCTGTCTCTTATACACATCTAGATGTGTATAAGAGACAGCACATGAACCGTTTAGTGGACCTGGTGTGACGGCTGAAACTATTTTTTTTAATTAATTTCAAATTCAGAAATGAATTAAAAAAATCCGCCTAAGATACAATTCATTTTTTATTTTTTTTTCCACAAAGGTGACTCCAGCCCGCCAGGCCAGCCCACCTGGGACCTTGTCCCAC